TCATAAGATATATATTCCATGTCTCATAAATTATAATAAGACATATAAAGACTTATGTGGAGTAAGATTTATTTATTTAATGAGCTAGCTTAGTGATATTAACATTCATTACATTTAGAAACTTGCATTTTTTTCTTTGATATTTTTTCAATAACTCGAATACATTATTTAATAATATATATAGTTTTAAAAAATTATATATTTATTGATATAGGTACACGCGCAAAGCACGTACCCTAAGACTAGTACTATATTAAAAGCACGAAGAGCTTTAGCGAAATGTCATTCGCCTTTTTTACCCTTTAAAAATAAAGTTCTCACTAAACAAAATAGTCATTTAATAATTTTTTCTAATATTTAGGACATTGAAAATAATTAAAAATATAATTACTACATCTTTCCTTATTTGAAATAGGTAAAAAGTCCTAAAATTGAGGACTTTAAAATGTATTAAGATTTTACTATATCAAAATTCTTTTCTTATTTAAAGTATGTTACCAAACTATATGTACGACGTCAATTAAGATGTTTATTCATTAGAATTTTTGTCTATCGTGGCACAAACATTCTTAGACGACTTTGAAGTCAATTAAGAATTTGTTTATTCAACGAAATTTTGTCTCTCGCGGCACAAGTTTTCTTAGACGGAAACTATGGCATATTTGTCTTTAATTTAGATTTTAATTATGCTTAATGCAGGGGCAGAGCTACAATATGAGTTTTGGGTTCGGATGAACCTATTAGTTTTTGTTTAGACCCTGTATTTGCATTAAAAATTATTACATATATATAACTATTTAATCGTGAACCCAATAGCTAAACGAGTTATGAATTCGATGACTAATTCAAAACACATAAACTTTATATTTTGGCTCCGCCTCTGGTTTAATGACTTTATTATTGCTTTAAGAGTCAATTTTCTGGGAGAGAGTCTTGTCTCGGATTCTTTTTACATAGCCATACAAATAGTTTGATATTTTTGTTTGCTTATTAGTGATTTTACTTTTGTTTTTAATCTCTCTTTTTATATTTTTTGGTATCGTTTTACCCCTGTGCTTTCATCCTTCCAATTTTAGGTTGCGGAATCTAGGTCTTAGAAATTTTTGGAACCTTTGAAGCTGACACAAGAAAGCATATTGAGGTAACTTATTATTTTCTTATGTTTAGCGATCATGTGTCTAATATTTATTTATATAAATTATTTACTTATTATTTGAATAATGTGATATAATTATAACTCTTTAATTAATTTAGTTCATGCGTAGTATAGAAAAACTAAATATTCAATTCAATCTACTACTTATCAAGATTTAATAATATGAGTTGATATTCTTACGAAAAGATTTTTAAATGGCAAATTAGTAAATTAAAATATATTTTTTAGTTGGTTAATTTTTTTTTTCTTTCATAAAGTTGGATAAAAACTGATAGTTGCGCTATTGAATCTTCATAAACTAGTCTGAGAAATAAAAAAGAAAAAAATAAGAGTAAAGATTAAGCAAACACTAAAACTGAAAGTACTGAATTACTTTTCGAGTAGTAAAGAGCATTTGAAGAAGACTAAGTCTGATGCCCTACATATTAATTATTTCTCCTCCTGTAACACACTTTTTTTTTTCTGTATGCATATATTCAAGTTTTCTATCTCATTTAAGTTGTGATTATTTTTTTTATTGTTTTGTAAATTAACTCTTGAAAATTCATTGTTTCTTCATGACTTTTAACCATTATTGGATTAAATTAATGTATAATATTCTCAAGTAATTTTCTCTACACTCTTTGATAAATTTTGTGACACTAATCCTACCTTAAAGAAATAATTAATATTATTGAAATAATTAAGAAAAATATTCCAGCTAGCTACAACCAAAGATATTGAAAATCGGTGAAAAGATGCTCAACATTTAGTGCCACAAAAATCATACAAAATTATTTTTAAAGACTTAACGTTATCGCTATAAACTGTTGAACTCGAACTTTCTTAAGGAAACCACTCTAAGGCTTAACAAAAGTGCGTAGGTGAATTTGAATAACTACTTGTTCAAAACATATACGTAAAAGTATTATTTTCAATTGTGAAAATATTTATAAAAAAAGAAGAAAAGAAATACCAGTCATAACATGAAGAAATGCATGGAGTTATTCTTAAAATGTCTCCCATGATGTAAATCTTCTCTCAAAATTTAGTCTTTGAACTCCAAAATGAATTTAATTTTGGTTACATATATATAATAATCGTGACATTACGACTTAAAGAAAATAAACTAAACGCCACAACACAAAATAAAGATTACGATTAAGCATCAATATATATATATATATATATATATATATATTATTTTGTAACTCGAGCATATTTATTATTTATGTGATTTTCTTAAAATTTATATTTCTTAGTATGGGGTACACCCACAACACGCGTACCCTAAAACTAGTCACATAAGTATTTCAAAGCTATGTGAGATTTTCCTAAAATTGGAAAAGCTACATAATATTCAAATTTATGAGAAGATCTTTTTCTCATCAAACGAATTCCAAACAGAGATCTATGTAACATGAGTTTCGATTTTTAAACCAACTTAGAAACTACATTTAACTTAATGATTAGATCTGATGAAAATATTATCCCTACAACTCAAATTTTTACAACAAGGTCTAATTAACACGAGCAATTTTTGCATCTCTTGTATTTCTATGAGGTTTGTTTTTTAAATATATTTATATATATTAGTTTACTGCCAAATCTCTTAAAGTCAAATCAATATCAATAGAAGTCCCAATAAAATTTACTAACCTGATTCTTCAATCGATGATCTATTGCTCCCTCTTAATAACAAACGCCCATGCTTTGATTTGAAAGTTCAAGCCCGTAATAAATTTTCAAGAAACTTTTGAGATGACTTAGTTACATGTGAGAGCGATAACTATAAAAGCGGAGAAAATTCTAGTAACAATATATTCGGATTACTTAGCTTTAATGAACTTTTCACTAAAGCAAAAAAGACTAAAAAATAATGCAAATGAAGTATCAGTTCACGATACATTCAAACTTCTCTATAACAGTCAACATCTATAATAATATTTTATTATAATAGTCAAATTTCTCTAAAATTGATATATTGTGTTATATTTTATGTCTCTATAATACGTTTTTACATATTACAACAAAAAACCATTACTATAACGGTACACTCTTTGTAAAATACCTTTTTGCAATAGGCTTACTTAAACATTTATGTATTTATTATTTTATAATAACCAAAAATATTATATATATATATATATNAAAACTCTTCTGAACTTGAAATAGAAGAAATTAAAAGATTAAATTGGGTACCTTTTGTATCTATAATTTTATCACACATTCCACCTTACTTCTTGAGATTTTAAATTTAAACAATTTTATTATCTTTTTATAATATAAAATTTTGAAAAGAATATTTTTTTGGATAATCTTTGTCCATAATAAGCAAATAAAATCTGAATATCAAATATTATTACAGGTGTATAAAAGTCAATTGCTAACAAACAAAAAAAGATTCGGACAAACTAAGTTATTATAAAGAAGTATGATTGCATGAGTAATATGCTCTTAAAACCAGAAAAGCTCAAATCCAAATCCGTGTGATAATAAAAAAATGTTAATAGTGTCATATCTTGTATTTTTTCGATCAAATAAGTGAAGCGAAGTATTGTATCAATCATTCAATTAAATGAATGATCAACCTTATGAACCTTATGTGTATATATTATTGGAGTTACCCGAAGATTGGGCCACGAAGACTGGGCCAACACAAGAGTTGGAGTACTTGGGCCTAGCCCATTATTTATTTGTATCAGTCTTATTCTTCTAGTCTAGTTTTTTCTTTTTCATTTTTTAGGAAAAACAACAGAAGGGGTTTTCCTCTCTTTTCTTCTCACACAATACTTTCCCCTTTTCCTTATGAACCCTAATCAAAAATCAGCACATTAATGTTGATTTTCACATTTTAACATGGTATCAGAGAGGATAATCTGGTAGTCCCTGTCATTCTACATCAACCGGTGTTACCCTCGTTCAATTTCATCGAGTTTATCATCACTGTTTCGACTTTCGCCGAGTTTCAGAATCTGAAGTTTTTCGTTGATTTTTTTGTTCAAATTTCGAATTGAGGAAGGTTCCTCGACTGTGTGATTCTATTTTGGTCGGAGTTTGCTGCTGATTATCCGTTTTCTGTTATTTTTCGTCAAGACTAGGATTTTCGGTGATTATCGGAGTTCTGTTAGTCTTCGCCAGAGCTAAAGTTTTCCTTTCAAGTTGAAGTTTTTTTTTCTCTCAAGGCCTTTCTTCTTCAGGTTGCGAAGAAGTGTGGTACACTCGTCTCTATTTGTTATCTTGCATGAATTGATCGTTGTGAAATTTTCTTGTTATACTCTATTATCATGGTTAATTCTACTTCAAACTCAAGTTCTTCTTCCCCTACGTATACTCTTGAACCCTCAAGTCCACTATTTCTCCTTCCTTCCGATGTACCAGGGATATCCTTGGTTACTGTGCCTTTTTCTGGGACTAGTTTTGGGGGTTGGAGGAGGAGTATGGTCGTGTCTCTGTCTGCTAGAAATAAGATAGGTTTTATCGATGGGTCTTGCACTAAGCCTACTATGGATTCTCCCCAGTACAGGCAGTGGGACATGTGCAATAATATGGTAATATCCTGCTCAATCAATTTACTTTCTCCAGATATAGCTGAAAGTGTAAAATATTCTGAAACTGCTGAAAGCATATGGAAACAATTGAATAATAGGTATGGGACTGTTAATTGAACTAAGGTGCTTGAAATAAAGAGAGAACTTGCATCTACTTATCAAGGGACTCTCGACATAGCTTCATATTTCAACAAACTTAAAAAACTCTAGGATGAATTTGAGGTTATGTGTACCAGTCATGCAAATTCTTGTGTTTGTGCTGCTAAGAAAGGTCTCCAGAAGGAGAAGGAAGAGGATAGGTTCATCAATTTCTTATGGGTCTAAATGAGGTTTATGTGGGGGTTATGAGCAACATCTTGATGATTCAACCATTGTCATCCCTTGATACTGTCTACAACATTTTGTTGCAAGATGAAAAACAGAGACAGGTTATCCCCAATACCCAATTTAACTCAGAATCAGCCTCTTTTAATGCAAATTCCAACATTAACAGATTCCCTTCTCAACTCTCATCTACAAAACAATATACACAAAGGGTGAACTTTGATTCAAGCAACCAAAAATCCAATACCACTTTGTCTTGCAAGTATTGCAAGAAACCTGGTCATACAATTGAAAAATGCTACAAATTACATGGTTTTCCCCCAAATTTCAAATTCACAAAGGGAAAAAGGTCTGGTACTGCTGCAAGTGCTGAGGGGCAGATTTCTGAATCTTCTGCATTATATTCTCCAACTGATCAAAGCTTTTTGATCCCTGGTCTTACCAAAGAGCAGTACTCCCAGTTGATGCAGTTGCTCAATCAGTCTAAATTGGGCGATTCAATGACTCAACATATTCTAATGGGATCTGCCAATTTTGCTGGTAGTACTTCTTCTCTTCCTCTGTGTTTAAATGGTAGTTCTATTGTGCGCATGTTGACTAGTGTAGCTAGAAGGGTTTGGATAGTGGATTCAGGGGCAACTGACCACATGACTTCAAATAAGGACCTCCTTTTTAATATTACACCCCTTCCTGTTCCTTACTTAGTTTCTCTACCTAATGGTTATAAAGTTAAGGTAACTTGTATAGGTTCCCTCACTTTATTACCATATTTCACTCTACACAATATTTTGTACATTCCATTTTTCCATTACAATCTAATTTCTGTGAGTAAGGTAATAACACAATTCAACTGTTATGTGTTATTCACTTCTATTTCTTGCATAATTCTACAGGCCCATTCTATGAAGAAGCTTCTGGATCTTGGTAGAATGGACCAAGGATTATACAAATTTCACTTCAACCATTCTACTCATTCCATGTCACCTGATAATTTTGTTCCTCCTTTCAATAATCTAGTACATAATACTGAATTTTCTTTACATACAGATGTTAAAAATATGAGCCACAGTTCTGCTTGTACTTTACCTTGTGGTACTGTTCAAAATGTACAAACTGAGAATCCATGTTATGTTTCTACTTTACCTTCTTGTACTGTTCCAAATAATGTGAATAAAAATGATGTTCTTTGGCATCACAGATTGGGGCATGTTTCTTTTGTTCAAATGAAGCATATATCTTCTATCTCTAATGACTTGTCTAGTAAGCCGTCCTTTATTTGTCCTATTTGTCCTTTAGCTAGACAACCTAGGTTATCATTCCGAGATAGTTCTTCTCTTTCCACTTCATTATTTTAACTTATTCATGTTGACACTTGGGGACCATACCACATCCAAACTTACTCTGGAGCAAAATATTTCTTGACAATAGTTGATGACTATAGTAGAGCAACATGGACACACCTTTTACAATCCAAGAGTTATGCCTTCACCTTCCTTAAAACATTCATAGCCATAGTAAAGACACAGTTTCATCTTTTTGTCCAAAAGGTTAGAAGTGATAATGCCTTGGAGCTTGGTTTCTCCAATTCAGCTATTCAATTCTTTTCTAATAATTGTATCATACATCAAACAACTTGCCCACACACACCACAACAAAATGGTGTAGTAGATAGGAAACATAGACATCTATTAGAAACTTCAAGGGCTTTGTTGTTTCAATCCAATCTTCCTATCAAGTTCTGGGCAGATTGTGTTTTAACAGCAACCTATCTCATTAATAGATTTCCCTCTAAAGTTTTGTCCAATAAGACGCCATTTGAATTACTTTATGGGACTGCTCCTTATTCTCATTTAAAACCTTTTGGCTGCCTCTGCTATGTTAGTATTCCCAAGTGTCATAGAGATAAGTTTCAACCTAAAGCATCTCCTTGTATTTTCATTGGCTATCCTTACGCTAAAAAGGGTTCAAACTATAAAATCTCACCACTAAGTCTGTTATCTACTCTAGGGATGTCATTTTCCATGAATGTGTTTTTCCTTATACTTTGTCATCTTCTGCTCCTTCTCATCATTCTCCTCCAATGCCTACCTTTTATGATTCTACTCCTGATCTTGTTACTGCTTCCTCTGTCCCTACAGATCCTCCAAATCCCCCTCTCCCTACTTCTCAAATACTTGACACTCTTGATGCTCCCACCTCTGTCCACACCACTGCTTCTCCTCCTACTCCCACTCATCCTACTGTTTCAATTGAATCAACAATTCCTCATGTTCCTGAAGTAAGAAAAAGTTCCAAAACCCATCAACTCCCTACTCACTTGAAGGATTATGTGGTCCAGCTTCCTTCATCTGCTTCCTGTTCTTCTTCTTCACTCTTGTCTACTGCAGTAGAACCCTATTCTTACACTCAGGCTGCTACTATTCCTGCTTGGCAAGAGGTCATGAGGAAAGAATTTGAGGCCCTAGATGCAAACCAAACTTGGAAAATTATTGAACTACCTACTGGGAAGAAGCCTATAGGGTGTAAGTGGGTATATAAAATTAAATACAAAACTAATGACAGTGTGGAGAGATACAAAGCTAGATTGGTGGTTAGAGGTGATACTCAAGTGGAAGGAATTGATTTCAATGAAACTTTCTCTCCAGTTATTAAAATGTGCACTATTAGATATGTAATTATTGTAGTTGTCAAACAACAATGGCCTTTGTTTCAGTTGGATGTTAATAATGCATTTCTGCATAGGGATTTGCATGAAGAGTCTACATGAAAATTCCTCAAGGTCTTTTTGTTGCTTCTACTTCTGTTTCTTCTGGGTCTCCTACTTTGGTATACAAATTGCAAAAGTCCCTTTATGGCTTGAGACAGGCTTCTAGGCAATGGTACGCCAAGCTGTCCCATGCATTTTATTCTAGGGGGTATAATCACTCATTGAATAACTACTCCTTGTTCATTAAGAAAATTAACTGCTGCACTACCCTTATAGCTGTTTATGTAGATGATATTATTGTGACTGGGGATGACTTGGATGGAATTTCTATTCTTAAAGCTTTTTTGGATGCTCAATTCAAAATTAAGGACTTGGGGTTGCTTAACTATTTCTTGGGTATTGAGGTCTGTTATTTTCAGTCGGGTATTCTTTTGTCTCAGAAGAAGTTTATCTCTGATTTGCTATCAGAATACAAATGTGCTGATGTTTCTGCTGTTGCTAGTCCTTTGGACATGAATCACAAGTTACATTCTGATGTTGGAGAGCTACTGCCTCAACCTGAAAGCTATAGGAGTCTAGTTAGAAAATTAAATTTTTTGACCAACAAAAGACCAAATTTATGCTTTGCTGTCCAACATTTAAGTCAATTTTTACAGCGATCTAGAGTTCCACATATGACTGCCGCTTTACATGTATTGAGATACTTAAAGGGCACTTCTGATTTTGGGGTCTTGTTAAATAATTCTGTTGATTTGTCTTTGGTGGCCAGTTGTGATAGTGATTGGGCAGCTTGCCTCGAGTCTAGGCGCTCAGTTTCTAGTTTTTGCATTCAGTTAGGTGGTAGTCTCATCAGTTGGAAGTCTAAAAAGCAGCACATTGTTTCCCTGTCCTCAGCTGAGGCAGAATACAGAGCCATGAGTAAAGTGGTAGCTGAATTAGCATGGTTAGTCCGCCGGTTATCTGACTTGGATCTCGCTGCTGCTCTCTCGGTTCCTATTTTGTGCGACAACCAGGCTGCTATTCATATCGCTAAGAACCCGGTGTTCCATGAGCGTACCAAGCACATCGAAGTTGACTGCCATTTCATTCGCACTAAGTTGGCAGATGGTCTTATCTCTTTGTCTCATGTTTCTACTAGTTCTCAACTAGCTGATGTTTTTACTAAACGTTTGACAGGTCTACACCAAATCCACTTGATTGGCAAGTTAGGCGTGTGTCCACCCTCTAACTTGAGGGGGATGTTGGAGTTACCTGAAGATTGGGCCACGAAGACTGGGCAACACAAGAGTTGAAGCACTTGGGCCTAGCCCATTATTTATTTGTATCAGTCTTTTTCTTCTAGTTTAGGTTTTTCATTTTTCATTTTTTAGGGAAAACAACAGAAGGGGTTTTCCTCTCTTTTCTTCTCACACACGACTTTCCCCTTTTTCTTTTCGTTATGAATCCTAATCAAAAATCTACACATTAATGTTGATTTCTACATTTTAACATATATTATATAGATATAGAATAAATCTAGGTTTCAGTTATTTATACTTATGCTAAAAGAATATAATAAATAGTTGCGAGGTAATTGGAAATCAAGTGTTATTCCGATTACTTACAAAATAAAACTACGTAACGTACTAAAAGCAGTTTCAGGATGATCAAGGACGTTGGCCTTTGTTCTAATAGAAAGGATTAGAGTAAAACAAGAGAATAATATTTTTGTTTTTATCTTACAATGTTTTGAAATGGAAAGAAATGACTTTATGCATGTATCGCAACAAGTAAAAGGATAAGTACCTGCATTAAGCAACAAACAACAACAACAACCCAGTAAAATTCCACTAATGGGGTTTGGGGAGGGTAGTATATACGCAGACCTTACCCCTACCCCGAAGGAGTAGAGAGGCTGTTTCCAAAAGACCCCCGGCTAAAAAAAATAAAAAAAAAAGAAAAAAAAAGACAAAAAGAGACAATATTAGTATCACAACAACAATCATAGGATAAATAGGAACATCATGAAATCCAGAAGAAAGATGCAAAGAAAGGGAGACAATATTAGTAAATATTAGTAATACCATAACAGTCATAAGGAAACCTGCATTAAGCAAATGCACATGAATTACCTAATAATATCTTATCAGTGGGAAATCAACCAACTTTTACTTGACTACATTTTTTGTCAAATATTCATTAAAGTTTTGTAACTTATAAGTAACGTTTACGTAGTTTCTTAATGTCCATAAATTAAAGGTAGTACATAAAACTTATCAGACAATAAATTTAATTTTTTTTCCAAGAGAAAAAGAAGGGGAAAAAAATTCAAGTAAATAACAATAGTAGGAAACAACTTGCTGAGGTGGAATCCAATTAACACGATAATCTATATCTAGATTTCATATATGTAACTACAAACCCAAAGCAGTAGTAGTTCGACACAAAAACATTTTTTTAATGTTCTTTCTCCAAAATCTTTAAGTTGTACAATCTAGATTGTCGGTATTTTTGGGAGGCCGGATTAATTTATCAATGGAATTAACCATCGTAAGCAGCAGCTAATATGCAAACTCCCAAGTTTAATCTCGGCATGGCATTCGATGCCTGTCTTCTAAGTGTCGGAGATATTTCTTACTTCTAGGCTTTTTATTGCTCTCACCTTTGCCCATTTCAGTGATATCATTCATTTATACTCCCTCCGGTAAAGTGTTCTAAAAGGCGTTTTTGGGGCGAGCATGGGATGAGGCGCACCAAAAACGTCTCGGGGCGATGGTGTGGGGCGAAAGTCTAATGAGGTGTACGCCCAGCAATTCGGGGCGTACGCCTGGCGTTAGGGGCATTTGAGGCGAGTTTTTTTAGTGAGGCGTAAGCTCCGAAGATTTTTTCAAATTAAAACAAAATTTGTTGAATAAGTCCTTCATATAATACCCAAATTTTTAAAATTCAGCTTGGTAATTACTCAAAAGTTTTAAAAAAGAACTGAAATATATTAAATTGAAAAGTCAAGACCTTTTTATTGATTGAAGCTCCAATTCATGGTCTTTCCCAATTTTTTATCTTGTCCGCTTGTCTGCTAATATCTTCCAAAAGTAACGAATATTCAATTTATTTTTTACAAATACAAAGAGAACTTCATTCTCCTTCATAGCAGCAAGTTAAAAGTTCAAATTGAATGTTAGTTATCCTTTTTGTTCCTCCATATAAAAAACTTTATTCTTTTCGACTCAAGTTACTTGAGCTTCTAAGTAGCGTATAATAGATTGTTTTGACTAGTTTTTTATGGGGATGAAGCACATCTATATGTATATATTTTTCACATATTTATAGTTTTCTTTATTTTTTTTATGCAATTTTACCTGTTTATAAATAATTACTGTAATTATATTATTTTATAAAATATTAAAAATTAAATACTCATGGGGCTTACGCCCCGTGCCTCGGGGCTTACGTCTCGCTGAGACATATGTAAAACGCCTTACCTTACGCCCACGCCTTTTAAAACACTGATTTTTCTTGCCTTTTTTTTTTATCCATGATCTTTGATTTTTTTAGATACAAAGAAGGAATTAATTTTTTTCAAAGTTATCTTTGAAGTAAAGAGCCTAAGAGTATTTAATATTTTTAATGAACAAATTAAGATTAATATGATCATTTTTATTATTCAAAAAATTAATTAAAATGGACCAGAGGGAGTATGATTTTATCTGCACTTCGCGGCGGTCCAAAAAAATATTGGAGGGTTTATTAATGTTTTTTTTGGTTGTAAATTTAGTCGACAAAGAGATAAAAATTTCACATTTATGATTATGAATTAATCAAATCACAAATATGAATATTGTTGTAGACGTCAAAATAGGTTACTGGATCAAGACTCCCTACATTCGGCCGAGATCATTATGTTGGGCACCTTCAAGACAAAGCTCATTTATGTTGTTCAATTCCAAGAGTCCATTAGGGTTGTATGGAGTTTATTCTATCCTAATCCCTAACTCACACCTATAAAATAGCTATATATTTTCTTTGAAAGCAACTCGAAAATTCTGTAAACTTGAAATATTCATAAAAAGATCAAGACAACAAATAATATCTTTTTCAAAGCCGAAGTGATCAAGAAACGTTTCTCAAAATCAACTCGAAATGCAGTCAGAGTATGTTTCTTGAAAAATAAATACTTCAAGAAGATCCACACAAATTCTTTGCTCGAGAGTTACGTCACTTTGCCCCTCGATTGAAGAAACACGGAGTGATTAAGAGATGTTCTTCCTCGTGAACGATCCGAAATACTGCCCAACTCTCATGGAGATCAAATATATTGTTGTTTACCCGAAAAACGGATAGAGTTGAATTTATACGTAGTTCTAAAGATACATGATATAAATTGGAAAAAATATGTAAATGAATATCGAAATTAGTTATAAAAGAAATGAATGCAAATCGAATGAACTAGTTAGCCTAAGCCTTCAAGTTTTATCACTTTTAAATTGAGTGAAGAACAATTGGTAGAAGAAACAATACGAATAAATATCAAAAGCCAAAAAAAGATGGTGTTTGCTCTCTTTTTTGTATATCTCAGAATGAATGTCCTTCTTACAAATGATAACAACTCTTAATATAGTGGGGGAATCCTATTTTGGATATAATTAAAAATACATAGTGGGAATTCCATGATAAATTAATTAATTAGCTTTTCCTTGATTCAAGCCGTGATTTCCGACGAGATTCTCTCCCCAATTAAGTCTACAACATTTTTTTATTTCTTGGCTCGATCTCGATCTTGACCGATCTCAATCTTGGTCGGTCTCTGGGTCTCGAGCTCAATCTTGACTCGATCTTGATCTTGGCCGGTCTCGGTATTGATCTGTCTCTGGGTGCCGAGCTCGATCTTGGTCGATCTCGATATTGATCGGTCTCTGGGGCTCGAGCTCGACAACCTAACTTTGCATCACGACTCGATATTACAATGATAAATCTTGGACCATCATGTTCCAATATAGATTAGTCGTAAGAAGGTTAGACTCGGTTTTGACCGTATACAGATAGTCCTCTCGTTTCTCGGAAAGAAGATAGCGAGAAACGATATGAATTTTCGAACTCCAACTAGATGGGCAATGACATTAGCGACGACCCCGATTGTGACGTATGTGACAAACGTCCCGTCGGTCCAGTTATCAAGGCATTAAATGTGCGTCAGTCGATGGTCGGCCACTACCAGTTTGAACCGTTGTTGCGAAACCAATAAATAGCCCCCTTCTTTATCATTCCAAACTTTTACTTTCAAATATTTTTCATTATAATCTTCATAGTTCTTTGCCTTCTCCAAAGCTCCCTATTTCGAGGTTTTCAAATTTCTTTGCTTGTTCTTCCTAAAACACCACATACTTCCATCTCCATTCTTCTTTGTTCACAAAAACTAAATGGCCAAAACATCTAAAACCGTTTTGCAGAAAGAGACTGCTTCCTCATCTCGGCCGGCCAGCGAGAAACCAGTAGTGGAGCCATTCCTTGAAGAACTTGTTCCCGGAGTATGTGTTATTGATTTCGACTTTAAGGTCGAGAAACCCTCATCGGTTGCTAGTAGATGCGAGCTGGTATCGAGATATATATGCTCGATATCCAAAAGCCTTCTTGATTTGGTGAAGAAAAATTGCAATTGAGAAAACAAAGAGGTTGTAATACCGGCACTGGAAGAAGCGATCACTACCCACGTGGAAGGGTACCTGAGTACTTACACTTATCCTTTCATGTTGGGTCCCCTCGATCCGGTCATCATCGATTTCTACAAGAAATACCAGATGACCCTCGGCCAAATTTACCCTTCCTTTTGGAGGATCGTGATACTGTTTTGTTTCTTCGTGAGAAAAATCGACGGGCTTCCCTTTACCCTCGACCACCTCGTAAGATTATATAGCCCTCGACTCTACCGAGGTGGGCTGATAATACTTCAACGCCGGGCCATTAAGGCATTCACCTCGAGTACAGATGAAGACAAAGATCGGGGCTGGATGGGCCGGTTCGTTTGGGTGAAGACCTCAGACCTGATCCCGGCTGAGAGCATGCCATTTTCTGAGAAATAGAATATGAAACATGAGTATGATCCCGTTTTTAATTTCTGTTTGTTGTTTTTACTTCTTCATCCTTTCTTATCAGTGTTTTTCTCGATACAGTCGTTGCTTGGATGCCGGGTGCGGTTCCCCACCTCGAGAACTAGGTCAGGAGACTAGTTTCGACGTCAACATATGCAGAGCGTGCGTGGCGCGATTTGTCAAAGGGCCGGTGGGAGGCTCGTACTCATGGTAAGCCTTCTTCTTGG